GGAGTGACTAATACCTTGAGACCTAACAACATTATAGTATACCGGGCAAACGAGCGTGCCCTAGCTCGGATATTGATAATATGCTAACCTGTGATGCCTGGCGGCACAAAGCAGCATTTGGGCAAAAGAAATTCAGACCAAAAAAAAGCTGGGATCAAATTTCTGAGAAAATCTAAAACAGCACAATATGTCTGTGGTTCAGGCAACCAAAAGAGCAAGAAGAAGAACCTTATATCTACCTCGACACCAGAAATGGTAAAAGAGGAAGTAAAGAAAATAAAGAAGGTGAAGAAAATTGTTTTCACAGCACTCTGGACTGATCCATAGGTGCTTCAAACTCTTCGTAATCGTATCGTATCATATGTTTGTTAGCCTGGATATGAATAAACATTCATACCTGTTGCTGTATATGTGATATGGCATTGATGACATTGCTTCTGTCCAGTACCAGACTAGTCATAGCAGCTGCATTTTCTGCTGCCTAATCTGCACACTTGTTGCCTTGAACACGTATATTCTCTGTTACTAAAAGGAATTCTAGTCTAGCCATGCAACTTGTGCTTCAGTTTTATGTCATGTTGTTCCCATGTTTTATTAAATCATGCTGTCATTTTTTCCATACTCTATACCTGACAGATTATTCATCAAACAGCTTGACTTATGAAGAAGAGCACGCCAGAAGGAAAGCTGAGAATACTGTTAGGGAGCTGTGGTATTTTTTGGATTCACAGCTAAAAAGTTTAGAGAATGGTGATGCTAAACAGTCAAGTCAAGTGTCAAAGTTGAGGAAGGATCTAGAAGGCTATAGAAGGTCAGTGTTTTAATCAAATGTTAGCATGGCTATGGGGCGGTGTCTGTGGTTTAGGAGTTTTGAATGAAGTTTTATAATCCTGACAAACTGGTTCTGAAACAGCTGCTGATGATTTGACAGCAGACCGCTTTACATAAATTTTAACATTGGTAGGTGTGTCAGGCTATTCAGAACGCAATGGCAAATTGCAGAATGTAAAATTTCCTAGTAGACCATGAACAACCAGGCTATCCTCCAACTAACGGTCGGTAAAGATGGCGGCCAAAAAATATCCTTTCGAGCCACAGTCATGTGTCAATTGCGCCGGCGACTCCCGCCACTGCCACGTTTCCCCCACTCCGCTCACGCGGCGTAGAATGGGGCTTAACTAGATGGCTAGGACCCACGTGCAATGTGCTCGTGACCACTAGTGCGCAATTGACACATGACTGTGGCTCGAAAGGATATTTTGCGGCCACCATCTTTACTGACCATTAGTCGGAGGATAGCCAACAACCAATACATGCCGAAGTTGGTATCTAATGTCATTTAAAGAGTATGCAACTAATTAAAAACTTTTCTAGGTCGACTGCCATGGACTGCTTGCTAATTCAGTGAAGGATATTTCTGTTGTAGTTTATATTTCCTACACTTAGGCACGGTGTGCTGTTATGTTTCAGACATAAACTGCAGGCTGTTTCTTGCATAGCAGAGTTGGCCCATTCAAGTTGTAATTTCTTTAATTTTCTGTTTCATTGTTGAGGAGGTCCGGGTTGGCTGCCTGAAGGTTTTACATCAGAGTGGCCCAATAAGCTCAATTTTCCCCGTGTAGTTTTGGGACCCCATTTGTTGGGGAGGAAGGGGGTAGTAGACCCACTGCCTTCCTAACAAGCATGTCGTAAGAGCTAATTAATTAGGGGTTTTCTTCAGTTGTAGTGCATCTGCCTGAAAGGCAGGGAGCTAACAATCTGCTTACACATAAGCAAGATCTGTAAAATGGGCTCACATGCAAAACTCAAGTTCTGAAACAAGCCAGAAAGGGATAAACAGCTGGAATTTTCCAATGAAGTTTACAGCTGGTGAACACAAGGAAGAAGAAGCCTCAGTTTCGATGTATATCCAACAGGAATAATTCCAATCCTTGTTCAACCTTACATAAAGGTTAGAATTTGAAGTAGTTTTTTTTCCATGCTCTGTAGTGTTTATAATCACATCTGTCTACAAAGTTCTTTCTCAGTAATTTCTGATACAGATGCTCATCAGTCCTATGTTGCCAAACTTTCCAGTATCCTCTCTCTTGCCATCTCTGTGCCTCTCTTCCACTCTGTCTTGATGTGAAGAACCTGTAGCGAATGAATGACCATGCATTCTACTCTGTTGAAATGGTTAAACCATTTACCTTTGTCTCTGGAAGCTGTAAGTTCAGTTTTGGACAGTCCTTCTGTTCACAACTGCAGGCATTTCAGAGATTCCTGAGGGTCCTCGCTTGAGCTACAATCGTAATCTTTTGGGTAAAGCTAGACAGTCTCAAGGCTGCCTGGGAGCAAGTGAATAGTTTAAAAACACAGTTAGATCATCACGGTCTTCCCCATGTGGATTATGAGGCTCCATTTTGTATAACAAAGAATAGACCCACTTTCCCTTTAACAAGCGTGTCGTAAGAGGCAACAGATTAGTGTTTATTCCTTTGTTTCTTTGTTTTAGTATCCAGAAGCCATGAGTTGTTAACCCTTAGGCTCGATATTATGGATATCGCAACCTTTCGGCCTTGATTCCATTGTAAATACCGTAAATCTGGGAGAAATGTGGCTTTTCTGCCTACCCCCTACCCCTGTTCGTCACCCGGTCACCGCGCAATCCGGTTTAGCCAACTACGCTAGAGAGCCGGGCGTTTATTCCTTTAGAATGGGGGTGCATCTGCCTGAGTTCAAATCAGTATGGATCCCAGGTCAGCAGCCTGGTTTGCAAACTATATTGAAAACAACATTCGAGTCGCTCCTTTCAGGGTAAATACAGGAAAAAAGGTGAACATCCGTGGTATAGCAGCTTGATGCTCAACTTCGGACCCGAAGGACATGGGTTCAACCTCGCACACAGCTAGACTTTTTCAGAAAAGACCTTGGCTCCCAGGTGGACCCAGCCTTAAATGGTTATCAATTAAAGTCTTGGGAAGCGGAAGTAAAGGTGGCTAGTGTGATGTTGACCACATCACGTTGAGTGCCTATTGAACTATAAAATATAGGTCTGGTAATATATGCCCAACAGGATTATTATGGCCTGGAGAGATAATGGCACCTGGGTGTAACCAGAGGGTTTGGCCGGCTCACTACACTCAAACATATAACCAGATTATGACCACTACCATTAGTACGGGAATTATGCGCTGGCTGCTGAAGATGAGGACAGAGCACGCATGAAAATGCCCCGAGTGCTGTGATGTCAGTTCTTGACTCAAGTCACCTCAACTCAACTATATGCCCAGTACACCTGAATGTGTGGAAAATTGTCCTTTTGCAGAAGAATAACAAGAAGCAGCAGAAGAAGACAAAGAAAAATCATGTTAAAAAATTTCTGCACATTGTGCATGTTTTTAAAGACAAATTGGATCTTGATTGGTGATGGAATCAACATTATACCAACTGTCTCTACTTCTTATGACATTTCCTAGTAAATATTTTGTGCTGGGACTTGCTGTGAATTATGAGTTAAGAACTGACATCATAGCACTCTGGACAATCAGCATAAGCATTCTGTCCTCATCTTCAGCTGCAGATGCAGAATTACAATTTCGACGCTACCAGAAATAGTCTGATTGTATGTCCCTGTTGTCACTTCCCTGAGTTTTGAGTGTTGACCAGATCCCCTGGTCATTCATCGCTGTAAATTCTAAGGTAGTTTAATGGGCAGTGTATACAATTAATGGCGTCTTTTAATCTATCAATTTATGGCATTTTTGCTGTGTTGCAGAACTTTAATAGATGATTTCAGCAAACTGCGTACAGCAAATAAAGCAGAATTTTGGAGACTACAAAGATCGAAGGAATTACAGGACCTCGTTCAAAGACGATTAACTTTTCTAGAGGTGAGAATGTTTTTCTTCCATCCTTTATCCTTTAGTGGAGCTTTGATCTTCAAGTGTCATCATTAGCCATCTTACCTACACTCAGGTAGGGTATTCTCAGGGGGAGATAATTACTTAATCACGAGTTACCTGCCCCCAAGGTTCTGACCGCTAGATAATTGTATGACATCCAAAGCTAGGTGGTCTGTTAAATTTCACTTCACTGATGCCACCAAGTCTACCTGGTCAGTGTTATCTGAATTCTTGACACCTTACCTCTGTGCAAGAGTCTGAGTCTTTGATATCAACTGCTGTCCCATGGAAATTAAATGGCTTTGTTCTGGGTCAAGCTAGACTTAGGTTACAGCCCAGGAGCAGATTTTCCTCTATAACTTTAAATACATGGAGATAATTAGTATGGGGAAAGACACATTCTGAAGTCACAAGTCCTGTCGGCACACTTATGTACAAGAAATTCAAGATTGGAGATTCAGAACTTTGCAACACATAATACTGAACAAGTTTTACAGACATGTTTCTATGAAACAGTGAAAGATATGAGTCACACCACTTCATAGAAGTCTGTGGCCTCCTCATCTAAACCCACTAGCAGGGAGAATGAAGAAAGAAGACTGCTATGTCTCCAGGCCTGTAGGTTAATTTGATTTGTAGTATACTACACATATTTTACATATTCTCATAGAATATTTGGCATTTTCTCTATAAACTAAACTAGAATGTTGAAGCCTCTCCCTGATGCTCAATGTCTGAGATTTAAAAATTACTTTTCATCTTGCATTTATTCATAATATGCATATTATCATATGAATATGACATGCTTATTGATAAATTACAGCGGCAATGTGAAAGATGGGTGTTTGGAAGGGCTGAATGTAAGACAGTTCACAGTCATCCTAGAAATAGGCCTGACGTCTTCCCTCGAAGCCGGAGTACAGCTGCCCATGAGGCAGGGAACAACACGCAAAACTCAGGTCCAGGTAAAAGCCAAAAGTCCAAGCGGACGATTAACCGGGACCTTCCGCCGGAATTTACAGCCGGTGAACGAAGAAGAAGAAGAAGAAGACAGTCCTGCGTGCCCAATTTGTGACCCTTTAAAAATAAAGTTTGTTCATTCGTTCGTTCATTCAGAACCCAGACAACTGCAGAACTGCAAAGAAAGTGACGTGCAACTTGCACAAAGGATGTGGCTTTGGATGCCAGCTACATCATGTGACATACTGCCTGATAGCAGCCTATGCCATGAAGAGGACTCTCATTCTTCAGTCAAAAGGATGGCGCTACTCACCCAAGGGCTGGGAGACGGTTTTTGAGCCTCTGAGTCAAAAATGTACAGAAGACGATATAAAGGGGTCCATTACACATTGGAAATGTAAGAAATGAATTTTTTTGTAGTCCTTGTTGGTAATGGTGTTTGTCCTCAACCTTGTGTAATGCCTGTTAATTCCGATATAAATGTTCTTCAGTGACTTGATGCCAGACTGTCTAGCATCTTCTCTCCCCCCGTCTTCCACTGCCTCTCTTACCCTCCAGCTTTCCCATTTTCACTAAGTACTCATTTTCCTCTTCTCATATTGTAGAACAGTCATCATCATCATCAAGTGACTGGCATGAGCGATCAATCTCTGATCTTCCATGTATCAGTTTATGTGCTGACACCCCTCCAGGCCATGACAGGAGGTTGTAAAGAATTTTCTGACATTGTCTTTGTCTATTTTTCCACAGATCTTTCCAGTTGTCACAACATATTCCAGCTTCCTTTTTCTCATAACAGTATCCAGAATAATTGATATCTCTCTCTTTCTGATGTTTGGGATAAATCACATTTGTTTTCGTGTTAAATGCAATTTGTAAAATTTTGTTTTTGTTTTATCTTTGAGTTTATACTATAAGGACCAGGAGACTTATTTTTGAGCCTCTAGTCAAAAACAATGCAGAATGCATAAAAAAGATCCAATACCCATTGAAAGTTTAAGTCATGGAGTAGTATTTTTATTTTTAAAATTGAATGGCTTTTCTGCCTTGTCTTTTAACGTATATTGTTGCTGTCTTCAGTGTACATTGCAGTTAAGCTGTACATTTCCATAATTGTCATCTCCTTTGTAGTATTGTTGTATCTTTCTTTATTATAGATATGTTAATTCTTGTAGTAGCATTCTCTGTCAGTTTACTAAAAAAAAAATGTTTACTATGGCTGAAGACTCAGGAATTCACCAGTGCATGCTTGCTCAGTGACTCAATGAGCATGCATAGGAGATCAAAAAGGATGGCCAGGGGGAAAGGGGGTGGGGGTATATATGGAAACAGTGAAACAGTGGATCTGTCTGATATAGCATGCAGCGGTTCACAAAATCACCTTAAATGTTGTCTTAGTTCTTGCTGGTGTGAAATTCAATAAGAGAGCAGATGCCCTGGCTGGCAGTGCGACCGTCCAGATTGGGTTATCTCTGGACAGGAGAGACATCATCAGTGCCATAAGAGAGTAAATGCTGTGAAGTCTTCAATCTTGTTGAAAATGATTTTTCACTGAATAGACTGCATACTCTGGGTGTTCCAGCTGGAGCATCCACCTGTTGTTACATAAACCAGAACAGAATTGGAGTTGTTAGCTTAAAACGCTTAGAGACTTTCTCAGGGGGAGATCGGGGCACTTATGGTAATGTCAAATGTGTGAAGATTGTCTTGAAATAGTCTTAGTCTCAGTCGAGGTTTCAACATCACTGCAATCGGGTTTTCTCCATACTTGCTCCGTTCCTGTGCCAGTGAAAATCAAATCAAATATCCTTCACTGCCACATTTGAAAAAAACGGATGAACAGACTAGTCCCGGGACAGACCAGAAATATGCGCACGTAGTAAATGCATATTTCAGTTGCTAGAGGCGCCAAAGCTAACAATTGCCACCAAAAATGCAGTTTGTCGTTACTGGAAACAGTCGGGTACGATCAGTTGGTTACTATACACACATAGAATTATGACATGATGTATTTCACCAGCCCATACGTAAATAGGTCATATTGAACACCACGATACAACTGCTGCAGAAATGAAAGTCATTCTATAGGAAAAAACACAGCTTTCAGGGCTGCAACCAAGCACTAAACTCAGTAGCCCAGGCAGCAAAACTATTGACTACCGTCCTTCTGTGGAAACTGCATTAGCAAAGCACTGTCAGAAGCGAAAGTAACTTTGAAGCTTAAAATTCTGCCAAGCCTGTTCTTCATTTTGACCGCTCTTAAATAAACAATGAACAACTACTACAGATTATCATAATTGTTTATGGACACATAGTAGTGCGTGGCAAGTATGCTGAACATATATAGGCAGTTTGCATGTCTACTCTGCTCTCTGTGTATGTTGTAGGACCTTATTTTGAAAAAAAAATGGTGGAAAAGAGGGTTTGGGGTGGACTCACTGCCCCCATCAAGCAATAAAATAAAATGTGACCAATTAATTGCTTGCTGAAATCAATTTATCGATCCAAAAAGTGCAGAAATGACAACACAATGAGCCCACCACCCTTTTATGGGTGATCAAAGAAGAAGTCTGTTCTGCATGTACATATGAGTGATGGGATCATCTTCAGTCTCTTGTGTCATGTAAAGTGTTTTTTTTAATTTTGTTTTGTTATTATGTCCCATTGATGTGACACTTATGGAACTAACAATTGCTTGTTTTCTGGAAATAAGGTAAAATAAGTTCCATAAGCAGTTACTACCTTTAGAATGTGTAGTGTTCTTCTTCTTCTTCTCCTCCTCCTCCTTCTTCTTCTTCTGCTTCTTCTTCTTCTGCCCTTTATCCTCGATGGAGGATAGGCCCTCAGCCAGATCACGCCAAGTCATTCCATCTTTGCTGTTGCATGTAGTTTCCTCCCCATCTGCTTTTTCTCAGCAGGGTAATGTGGCAAGTTCACCTTTTCCCTCCAGACATTACCCAGAAAATATCTAACCCATTATTTTGAGACTGGGCCAGTGACTCAAAGAGCCGTACTGTTCTCTAGCAGTATTGTTTTGTTGGCACCTTTCCGTCTTTCCAGACACTAGTGTTATATTGTGTTAAAGACGCTTGGAAATCACAGTCTGTGGTGATGGCGAATGTGACTAGAAAGACTCGCTGCATTAATACATCTAGAGCATGGTAATTCAGGACTCTCTTTATAGCACAAAGCCTGGGCAGTACTGTAGAGACTATGTGTTGCCATGCATCATGACTCCATTCTGCCTGCCCTGTTTATTCTAAATGAAATGTAACACCAGTCCAGAAGTACAAGGCACACATTTTTCTGACATTGTTTTCATGTAACAGTTCTTGCTCTCTTTATATACACAGTACTCTTCTTCTTCTTCTTCTTCTGCATTCACCCCTAAAATTGTGGGTAACACTCTGTTTTGTGAAATAGCAAGGCATCAGTATCTGACCCTCAAGGCCTAGCATATCAGAATACAGGAAACCCCTAATTTCTATGACTTGCTTTTTTTGTGTGGGCACCTCAACCACAGGCCCCAGAACCCGCATGGCTAGCTCGGTACTCAAAGTGATGATAATCTCCTTTCCTTGAATTTTTGTTTCTTTCAAGTTGACAATGTAATCTGTATTTTCCAAAGTAATATTTCTTAATATTTGTAACATAAGTAAAGTACTTTTCCACGCCTTTAGGCGTACAGGGCATATAGGGCTAGACCTATCTTTTATAGACCAATCGGCACAAGATGGCTGATGTGATCAGCATCACGCCGGTCACCTTTACTTCCCAGGACTGCACTCAGTACCCACTCGAGGCTGGGTCAACCTGGGAGCCAAAGCCATTTTTGAAAAAAAGTCTGACTCCGCCAGGGAACGAACCCACGACATTCCGATCCGCAGGCGAGCAACTAGCCGCTTCACCAATGCGATTCCCAATATTTGTTATATAATCTTAATATATGTAATATTTCTTTTGTTTCAGCTTCTCGGACAGAGATGGACAAATATGATGTGATCGAGCTGCCAATTGTTGACAACCTACACCCGCGCCCAGATTTCATGCCTCTGTCTGTGCCTGCTGACCTTGCATCCGAGATCGCCGTCTTCCATGGTGATCCAGCTGTGTGGTGGATTGGTCAGGTTGTGCACTATCTCTTCAGACTGCAGCCTGCTGTACTCACTGATGTGGTTGATGCTGGGAAAAAAATGGGATTCAGAAATACCATTGTTGGGTAGGTGTATTTCTTTGAAACAATCTGGGCGTAGGTATATGTTGTCTGTTCTTTGATACAATCTTGGGGTAGTTATATGTTGTCTGTTCTTTGATACAATCTGGGGGTTAGTGTATGTTGCATGTTCTTTGATGCAATCTTGGGGTTGGTGTATGTGGTCTGTTCTTTGATACAGTCTCTGGGTAGGTGTATGTTTTTTGTTCTTTGATACAGTCTCTGGGTAGGTAAATGTGGTCTGTTCTGTGATGCAGTTTGTGGTCTGTTCTTTGATACAGTCTGTGGGTAGGTATATATGGTCTGTTCTTTGATGCAGTCTGTGGGTAGGTGTATGTGGTCTGTTCTTTGATACAGTCTGTGGGAAGGTATATGTAATCTGTTCTTTAAAAGTCTGTGAATAGGTGTATGCAGTCTGTTTTTATACAGTTTAGGGTAGGTGTATGTGGTCTGTTCTTTGATACAGTCTGTGGGTAGGTGTATGTGGTCTGTTCTTTGATACAGTCTGTGGGTAGGTGTATGTGGTCTGTTCTTTGATACAGTCTGTGGGTAGGTATATGTGATACAGTTTAGGGTAGGTGTATGTGGTCTGTTCTTTGATACAGTCTGTGGGTAGGTGTATGTGGTCTGTTTTTTGATACAGTCTGTGGGTAGGTATATGTGATACAGTTTAGGGTAGGTGTATGTGGTCTGTTCTTTGATACAGTCTGTGGGTAGGTGTATGTGGTCTGTTCTTTGATACAGTCTGTGGGTAGGTGTATGTGGTCTGTTCTTTGATACAGTCTGTGGGTAGGTATATGTGATACAGTTTAGGGCAGGTGTATGTCAATGGTTCTCAACCCTTCCAATGCTGCGACCCTTCCCTACAGTTTTCATATTATGGCGACCCCTAACCATGACATTATTTTTGTTGCTACTTCATAACTGTATCAAAGAAAAGCCCACATGCACTAACACAGAGACTGTACCCAAGAACAGACCATATACACCTACTAAGGTTCGTAGCCAACTCAACCAAGTTTTTCCAAGGCTTTTCAACAGATTTTTCATAGTATTTTTACGCAATAGTAGGTATGTGAGGGCTTTTCTGTAGCACAATCTTTTGTTTTGATGTTGCTCTGTTTAAAAAAAAAATAGTATTGTTGGTTGTATGTTTTGGAGGGCGATTATTGAATATGAAAGAAGTACAAATGGCCAAAGAAAGCAAATGACAAGATTGTTACGGTACTGATCACAGTCTCCCCTCTGGCCCATGCAAACTTGGCTCAGTTTAAAGCATTTTCCGTATAAATAGGAAGAAAAAAAAGAATTGTATTGAAATACTTCACATCTATTATCACAGGAGCAAAGTTATCACAAAGATGGTTTGTGTATTCAAGAAAAAAATCCTTTTAATGTCTTTGGCACATTAGGTATATAGTTCTTGACCTATATTTTTGTGAAACGATTGGGTCTTGATGGGTTAGTCAAGTCACCATCACATGTCAGAAACCTTTACTTCCCAGGAAACTTTTAGGGGCAAATATAAAAGTAGAAAATGTCATTGCAGGTGGTTTTACTCCATCTTGTTACAGAATTTCTAGCTTTGTAGCCTGTGATGATATTGCAGAGATCTCTGAAAAATATGCAGTACCCTAGTTTGTGACACAGTTATAGTCATTGAGATATTGTTTTTGAGGACACAGAATATGAAAACAAAGAACTATGTTTTGAAAAAGAAATAGGCATTGTTATCCCTTAAAGGTTTACGGGTAAGATGATTGACTTTATAGTTTGAAAAAAAAAAAAAAATACCAGAGCAAGTAGTTATCCGATGGTGCTTTTTATTAGTTGACAGAAAAGCTCGTACACCTAAAAACGATCAGTGACCCAGATATAAAAGAACTGTGAGTGTTTGAACCCTAAGGTATTCTTGTGTGCAATTTGAACAGTTTCACTCTTTATTTAAAAATATTTTGAATGTCAAAACTATGTTCCTTTCAGTAACAATATGTTCTTTCTTTCTTTCTTTCTTTCTTTCTTTCTTTCTTTCTTTCTTTCTTTCTTTCTTTCTTTCTTTCTTTCTTTATCTCTTTTCCTCTTTTTCCCCCTTTTAGTAGTAACCTGCATCCTGTTTTATTCTAGATAGTGTAGGCAGTCTGTGCAACTGTTACCTGCCAGGGCATTGCATGAACTTTAGCTTCAGTGACTTTTTCCAGGGAATTATCTAGAAAAAAACTGCATCTGTAAACCAAAGGTTGCAGTCACAATTCTTGAGATATTTGTTATTGTTTGTATTGTGTATTGCTTGAATGTATTTGAAAACATGTTTTTTTTTTTTTTTTTTTACTGCAGAGTTCATGTCCGCAGAACAGATAAAATTAACTTGGAGGCGGCATTTCATCCATTGGAGGAATATATGGAGCATGTAAAAGAGTTCTATGATCAATTAGAAAGAACACATCCTGATATTCCCAGGAGAGTCTACCTAGCAACAGATGATGCCAATCTTCTTCCAGAAGCCAAGCAGAAGTAAGATTGAGAAATTATTTTTCCATCTTTGTTTCACCATCTGCCGCCATATCAATGTTCTTTGAGAGCGCGTGATTCTAGGACTTTGGGTGGGGAGGGTGGGGGGGGGGGGGGGGGGGGGGCTGGTTGACAGTATGTCCACATTGCTGCTAAGAGTGAGAAATTTTAGAGTAAATATTGGCATAGCTAACACAAGAGGCTCATCAGAGGTTTTGTCAAATACCATAAGTTTAGCACTGTCTAAAATGCCATGAGGGCAACCCAGTAAAAAAAAGTATTCAATTTTACTGGTTTTTTGCTTTAGATTATAATATATTTATTTGTTATATATATGCATATGGGCATGCATATATATATATATATATATATATATGTGTGTGTGTGTGTGTATTGATTTATTTTGATTTGATTCAAGAACGGACATCACAGCACTCGGGGCATTCCCATAAGCGCTTCGCTCCCATCTTTGGCAGCCAGCGAAAAGTTCCGATACTAATGGTGCCAATAGCATTCTGATTAAACGTCTGTCTTGCCTTTCCTCTGAGCCTCGAGCATCTGCAAAAACCTCTCTTCACCCCCAACAGCATCAATCTCACCAGACTGGTGATCCATCTGCTCCTCCGCATTGTACACGCTCTCCCACAAGGCACTAACACAAGGCATACATATGTATGCATATGTATATATGTGTGTGCATACACAGATACAGATGTGTGTGTATATATATATATATATATATATAAAATAAACACATATGTATATAAACTTATATATATATACACAATGGGTCTATTCTTGTTTTCTTCCCTCTCCTGAAATGAGGCCAAGAAACTAAAATGAGAAATCTCCGTCTCCTTTGTCAGATGTCCAAACCATAAATTTATCAGTGACGCGACCGTATCACAATTTACCACTCACATCTGACCCTTTATTTCAGATATCCTAACCACAAATTTATCAGTGATGCAACATTATCACAATTAACCACTCACATCTGACCCTTTATTTCAGATATCCTAGCCACAAATTTATCAGTGACGCGACCGTATCACAATTTACCACTCACATCTGACCCTTTATTTCAGATATCCTAACCACAAATTTATCAGTGACGCGACCGTATCACAATTTACCACTCACATCTGACCCTTTATTTCAGATATCCTAACCACAAATTTATCAGTGACGCGACCGTATCACAATTTACCACTCACATCTGACCCTTTATTTCAGATATCCTAGCCACAAATTTATCAGTGACGCGACCGTATCACAATTTACCACTCACATCTGACCCTTTATTTCAGATATCCTAGCCACAAATTTATCAGTGACGCGACCGTATCACAATTAACCACTAACCTCTTACTCCTTCATTTTAGATATCCTAACTTCAATTCTCCATTTATGTCTGCATATCACAGTTTACCACTCACCCCTTCTTCTTCACTTTCTCTTTCACAGCTTTGAGTGTCAGGGGAGATAAAAGGTTCTGCTTCTTGCTTTTGAGGCCGACTCAACCATAGACACATCGTGCTGTTGTATAGTTTCTCTGATGGTATCTTTCCATTATGTTCTTGATCTATCTCATGTTCTTCAACCATCTCTTTCTAAATGGGCAAACTATTTGATTTGCTGTCCTTTTTTTTTTTAAATCTAAAACTGGTTCTGTGCACAAGTTTTCTTTTATGTCCTCATTCATGATTTTATCTCTTCATGTCATTCTTGCAGCCCTTCTCAGACATGTAATTTTCATGGTTACTTACTTTTCTGGTTTATTGTGAGTGACCACTGACACCTGACTCTTCCTCCCCCCCCACTTTTCAATATCCAAACTAACAAATTCATCAGTAACGTTTCAGTATCACAATTTACCTCTCACCCCTGACTACTTTATTTCAGTTATCCAGACTATAAATTCATCTGTAATGTCATACTATCAGGATTTACCACTCACCCCTGACTCCTTTATTTCAGATATCCAGACTACAAATTCATAATGTTTCAGTAGCACAATTGACCACTCACCTCTAACTCCTTTATTTCAGATATTCAGACTACAGTTTCATCCGTAATGTTTCAGTATCACAATATCAAAGTTTACCACTCACCCCTGACTCCTTTATTTCAGATATCCAAACTACAAATTCATCAGTGATGTCTCAATATCACAATTTACCACTCACCCCTGACTCCTTTATTTCAGATATCCAAACTACAAATTCATCAGTGATGTCTCAATATCACAGTCAGCAGGCTTGGGTACCAGATATACGGACAGCTCACTACGTGGAGTAATCATAGATATATATTTTCTGTCTCGCTGTGATTTTCTTGTCTGCACATTTTCATCTCAGGTGAGAGAACATTTTAAAACTAAATAATTTTTATTCTGTTTCACATTTTACTGATGACGATGATACTGTTCTTTGAACAAAGAAGACAGTCCTCTGCATAACATCACTGGTGTCTTGCCAGCTCTCCCACCCTGCACATTTTCATATCCAAGGAGTCATTTGTATCCTGTGCCCATCTTTGTGTTGGTCGAGCCTTCCCCTCCTTCCTGGTACCATGCTTTCTGCTATTATTTTTTTCAATCCGCCACGGCACTTTATATGGCCATAATATTTCAACTTCTGAGACAAGATTTTGTTTATTAGCCAATCTTCCTTGATGTTCACATCTTTTAAAATGTCAATATTTCTTTTCTTCTTTGTCCATGGTAATCTGAGAATCTTTCTAAAGCATTTCAGCTCAAAAACATATTTTCTTCCTGGAAAAAATCCACAACTCACATCCGTAAGTTGCTGCACGGAATATGCATGGTCTCAAAAGTTTGACTTTGATTTCCTTGCTGGCGCTTAACCATAGACTTAACACTGTTTAATCTTTGTATTACTATGGGTGTCCTCCATTTAACCTCTGTTAAAGTTTCCATTGCTGTTTATTAGGGAGCATAGGTCTTTAGAGTATTCTTCAATTTCTTCAATATTTATTATCATTGTTGGGTAACAGACAGTTTTGTTTGTGTACATTATTTTAATTGAGACAGTAAAGCAGTTAAATTAATCCTGTACAAGTGAAATACAAAATTGTGTACTTAGTTTCAAAGGAATCACATGTTTGCTTTGTTATATGCATTTGGTTCTAAAGCATGAGTTGATTTTGCATTTCATTATAAACAGATTCCAACAATCTTTGAAGCATTTGTGACATAATCTTATTTGTGATGCATTCATGGCATTGTCCCCAAAAGAATTCTTAGTCATCCTAATAGCTACAGCAGAGGAATCAGTCAGTGTTCAACAGTGAAGCCGACCACTTCAGTGATGTCATTCTCGCCCATAGATGTGCATGACAAGTGACTTTTTGTTGTTGTTGTTGTTGATGCAGCTGTCAAGTTACCTCAATGTTGCTCTAACCATTCTCTTTCATATGAACTGAGACATGTTCTTTTTTTTGTGGGGGGGGGGGGGGGGGGGGGGGGGTCAGCCTTCCTATGTGCTGTGTTCAGTGTTTGAAAATTGTTTTGGTCCCGGGCATTTAGCACCCTTTGGATATTTTCTCCAGTTTATGCTGGTGTGTTGGGAAATGAGCAGGCAGATAGACTACCTGGCTCTGCACTATTTGGTGGTGAATTGATGTATGACAAGTTAGAATTTGTTAGGGCCCTTTAGGAGCGAGTGAACAGTGCAGAGGTGCAGATAGATCATTACGGTCTAAGGAGAATGGCCCAGCGAGGAGTTATCAGGGGTTCTGACCGACGCCTAACACTCAGGGGAAGGATGAGACAGATATACAATCAGACGGTTACTGGTACCATCAGAATTGGAACTCTTCGCTTGCTGCTGAAGATGGGGACTGAGCACTTATGAGAGTGTCCAGAGTGCTGTGATGTCAATTCTTAATTAAAGGGAGGAGGATTAGTTTGAGAGTTTACCTAAAGAATTGACATCACGGCACTCAGGACATTCAAATAAGCGCTTCATCCTCATCTTCAGCAGCCAGAGTTGGAAGAGAAGGAAATATTTTTTATGAATGTTCCTATTGTGTTCAGGATTGTGATGATTCTGTAGCTGTGTATACTTGTGTGATCTTTTCTGGGCGTGGGAATGGGTGTGAGATAGCTATGGGGCCAGCAATCAAAGACGGCGGCATCTGGCACGCTTGCCTCCAATATAGTTTTATAAGTGTATTTTTAATTTCCTTCACCAGCTATCTTTTCTTTCTTAACTGCTTCAGAACCTCTTCACTTTGTTGATTTTGTTTCCATGAAATACAACTTAATCACCTGTATATCTACATCTACACAGGCTCACAGGTTGAGTTGAGTCAAGAATTGACATCACAGTACTCGGGGCATTCCCATGCATGCTCCATCCTATTCTTCAGCAGCCAGTGCAGCGTTCCAATACTGATGGTACCGGTCACAATCTGGTTATATGTCCATCTTGCCTTTTCTCTGAGTGTAGTCAGCCGGCCAGACTGGTTACACCCAGGTGCCTCATTCTCTCCAGGTCATAATAATCATGTTTCTCTACTGATTCCGTTGCTTGTTCCCAAAGGGCCTTGACCACATCTGCCTTGTCATGTATCAATTCACTACCCAGTGGTGCAAATCCAGCCAACTGTCTGCCCGTTCATTAGCCACCATGCTGGCATGGCCTGGAGAAAATATCCAAAGTATGCTCACTACCTGTGACCTTTCCAGTGAAGCTTGCCACTCTGCTCGAAACATCCATGTCTTCACCTTTCTCAGCATGCTTTTAGAGTCTGTTACAATTACGACATGTGAACGCATCTTGTTCTCTAGCCACCGGAGGGATGCAGTTACCCACTCCACCTCCATTCTCATACTAGATGTTGTGGTGTCAAATGCTAGGCTGTCTTGCACTAAAGATTTTTTTTAGGCTCACATGTCTAATTATCATTTTCTAATTTAAAGGTGATTCCTCTCTTTTCAGGTGTGCAGAGTTGCATATGAATTAATGCAGACATTACATGGTGATGCCTCAAGGAACTTCCGCTCATTAGATGATGTCTTCTACTATGGAGGGCAAAATGAGCATGATTTGATTGTGGTAGAAGCTCATCCAGGCAACTCTGAAGGGTTAATAGAAATTCAGGTTTGTATGTATGCAGATTTTTATAAGGAAAAATCTTGAGTCCATATTAATGTATTCCTTGGTGAGTTCCCGGGTCTCATTGTGAGGGGGGGGAGACCAGTTGCCCTCTCACAAGCGTGTTGTACAAGGAGACTAATTAGGGGTGTTTCCTTCAATGTCAGAATGCAAGTGCTTTAGAGATCAGGAACCAACAGTCTGTGTACGAATAAGCCAGATTTGTAAAATGGATGTGCATACAAAATTCAAATTCTGAAACAAGACTTACGTCTAGAAGTGAATAAACAACCAGAACTTTCCACCAGAGTTTACAGCCAGTAAACACTAAGAAGAAGAAGAGAACAATTTGATTTTACAGAATGTACCGACAAATAGTTTTAAAAGTCCAACTGAGTAATCATTATGTTTTGGGAGAGACTAAAATGTGATGAAAATGTATTACAAACAATACAAAGATACTATCAGCATTGTTTGCCATGTTAAGAGAACAGGCACACATTTCAGAAAGCTGAGTCATACATAACAATCATTTATTAATGAAAATTGAAATCAGACTGTTATATTGGAAAGAAAGCACAATAATATGCAGGCCATTAAAACTTATATATACATAAACCGCTATCTTTGTCCAGGCTATACAAGTGTTGTCACCTGTGAAAGAGCAGATAGATTGACTGGCACTGCTATAGTTGCAAATAGCCGGCCAACATTGTCAGTGCCATTAGAGAGAGAGTGAACGGTCAGAGGATTTTGGGGGCAGTGCGTCCATTTTGCTGCCAAGAATGCAAGAATTGAGAGTGAACATCCAGGTACACTGGATGTATGTGGTCTTGTCAACCTGCATATAACAGGCACTGTTAGTTGTTGGGTGCTTTTGTATATATTAAGCAGGGAATTTGAATACTTATGGGCATGTTTGGAGTGCTATGTTGACAACCCAACTTGCAACACTTACCTGAAACACAACAAAAATGACTGAACTTGAGATTTCTACCCTTTAGGCACCATTGGAGCATATGCCCTTCACTGATAGAAGTTCAGTTAATTCATGACAATTCTCACTAGTTATGAGTGGGATTATCTTCACAGCTTTCTAGACACGTCCATAGGTTCTCAGATTTCACCTTGAGCAATTACATCAACATCTTGCAGTTAATAGGACCAGTCCTATGTTGGATAACAAGACTCATTGTACATCTGGTGTGTCTCTCTACCTGGCTGTGCCAATCTTTTACTCCAAATTCTTGCATTCTTAGCAGTGATGTGGACACGCTGCTCCCAAAATTCTCTGGTCATCCTTTCTATCTGAGGCGATTAACAATGCTGGCATGATCCATAGGCTGGTGATTAGCAACTAAGCCAGAACTGGCCAGTCTGTCAGCTCTTTTATTTCCAGTAATACCCCCATACCCGGGGACAAAGATGAAGGTAGCTTCACGCAAGAGCCTACCTCGACTTGTCGGATGCTGATGAATTTCTTATTTGTTGAAATCTAGCAAAGATCTTACCTTCTTGCTTAAAACTGAATTAGGTGCTGCTATGTATAGAGTCACCCTGGGAATTTGACCAACACTCATACGAAAGGCAAGATGGGATGGACAGGTAATTAGACTAACAGTATTAGAACCTATACTGGCTGCTTAAGATAGAGATATTCCCATGGAAATGCCCTGAGTGCTAGGTAAGTATGTAAATTTTACCCCACCAGGACATCACACAGAGCGATAAATACCTGGTGACACAAAGTGCTACCATGCGGATGAGGATTACCCGTGGAGAAGTCCCGGAAACCGCGTTCAACCATTAGTTTATACTGCAGCCCCTGAAAACAGCCAGGGTGGGACTTCAAAATAATGAAAAATTACATCCCACAAGGGGGATGACAAAGTTGACTGAGTGCTAAGATATCGCTTCTAAACTCCACTCAGCTGAAGTATACAGTCTAGTTACACTATTTGAAATATCTTTTCCCTCCTGTTACATTGTTCAAAATATCTTTTTTCCCTCTACCTTCAGGTTGGAGATGCAGTAGGTATTGCAGGAAACCACTGGAATGGATTTTCTAAAGGAATGAATAAAAGAACAGGTCTTTCAGGCCTCTTTCCATCATATAAAGCAGAAGATGCTGTTGTCCCAGCAGAGATGCCCACTTACCCTGAGGTCCCACGCAAACAGAGCTGACATCATTGATCCGGATTTGAATGAGAATCACACAGTGCTGACCATATTTTAAATATGATCTTAATGTATGAATGAATTTGTGCATGGGTTCGCTGATCATATTTTGAAAATGAACTTAATCTTATTGTCTGAATGAAGTTGTGTATATGTGCTAGAAATTTTGTTTTAATTTGATCTTAATGTCTGATTTTGTTTGTGTATGTCTGCATGCAGATGTGCATGTGTGTGTGCATGTGCGTGTGTGTGTGTGTGTGTGCTTTGTACAGATCAAGCAGATTGTCTTGTGCTTCTGAGATGCCCTGTCTCATGAAGTGCTCATCCAACTGTTGTGTTTTAAAGTACATTGGTACCTCGATATACGTCCTTAATCAGCTCCAGATCCTTGGATTTATACCAACCCGGACATATGCAAAACACATTTTCCCATAAGAAATAAAGGGAGAATGATTATTTTGTTCTAATGAAAAAACCTGTGATTGGCATATTATACAAGACGCATACCACCTTTTTACTTTTCAACAATCTTTTTTTTTTTTTTTTTTTTTGAAACCTTTACGTTGATCCTAACCATTTTCTTCATTGATTAGCTTTTCTCATTAATTTTCTTAGAACTCATGGTTAGTGAACTTACTGAAAATTTGCATGAAAAAACACAAAAATTACATGAAGATCCACTGAGTTACATACAGTCTGGGTTGTTAGTTGAATGTAGCAACTGGCGTACTGACGCTTGTAGGGCAGTAGGCAGTCGTGCCTGGTTCGGTTCCAGCTGCTGGTCTTGCGCCTTGCGTTGGTTTCTACAGTGGTATTGAGAAGCCGTCCGTCCAGAAAGCAATGACAAACTACTGGACACAAATTTTGCCTAGAAAAACCATAGCCAAAAAAGGCTGGTGTTGGTTCTGCAACGTCCTGTAAAGGATACGCAGCTGACTTTTTTAAACTCCAGGTAGTAAAATTGGACACCCATGTGTATAGTAGCGCACTTTAAAAATCCCCTGGAAGTTGCAAACCGAAAAGAGTAACCTAACGGTGCTGCAAAATTTGAAGTTAAAAATCTACCTATTTTCAGGATCCTCACCGGTGCTATAGAATTCGTGCACTGCGCTTGAGCTGGAAGTAGAACGGAGCACTTATGGGTTACTACCCTCGTGCCATGATGTTGATCCGTTGTTTAAAAACCTAAAACCTCAGCAAATTTTGGCTCTTGTAGTTTTTCCAGGCTAATTTCCATTTATTAGTTTGCCATTGCTTTCTGTATGGTGAGTTCTTGATACCACTGTCAACACCAGCTCAAAGCCGTCTGCTGCCAAATAGCCTGCAGCTGGAATTTAACCAGGCACAACACACTATGAAGCGCGTTCACAACGCCTAAGCCATAGACACAGATCTATTCTCATATCTCACATAAAATTCTTTGTGTCTGATTAGGACGTATGCCAAGTTGGAAAGGGAAACCTAATGGAAAGGGGACGTATAACAGGTACCACTGTTATTGTGTTTTGAAGAATCTTAACTCTTTCAATCCCAGGAACGCATCATGCATCATAGGTTCCTACCTAGAAGCCCACTGAACACAAGATGTTCCGATTATACATTTCTCTATACTACTCCTGGGGCCTCTGATGCTAAGCCCTCTGGAACTGAAAGAGTTAAGGTATTGCCGCCATAATTGAATTTACTAGTCAGATTATTTTTTCTTCTTCACTTTTTAAATAATTTTCTTTCTTCACCTTTTGAATATCTGGTTTTTTTTTTGCCTTTCTAACCCCCAGTGGTGCATAGACCTTTTTGAATATATATGGTTAAAATCTCAGTCTTTTCTCTATTTCTGTATATACTTTAAGCCCACTTTAGTAGGCTATTCAGGAGAATATAGTTTTAAGTAAAGGACCCTTTCCACTCAAGTGCTGCATCGGGCATGTGATGATAGGCTAATATTTTTATCGACCAATCGCCACTCAGAGAGTTACTGATGTACATATTTCAGAATCAACATAGCACACTTGGTATGGTATACCTATTAGTGATCCGTCTTCTGCAGGTGTAAATGCTAACTATTCGTGTAGCACACTGATTATAAACTTGTTGTTCTCTTCCTCTCAAATATTCCTCCTTGTCTGATTCACACCTGATTTGTTGTTCAAACATTCTTACACTTTATTTCATCTCACCTTGTCTCTTCTATCAGCATTCATTCATGAATGGTTTTCAGAATGTCTCCTTTGTCCAGTACAAGTGTTCCTGTAGCTATCACTTTTGTAGCCAGAAAATCTGCTCTTTCATTTACTCACACTCCTGCATTGCCCAGACAGTATCTCCCTGTCCTGAGTCCCTATAATTTTGAAATGCTGATGCTTGGTATCCACTCACTGAATTTGATCAGCAACATGCCAGCCGCCTTACCTCCCAGGACTTTGCCTGGTACCCATTTTAAATGTATTTATAGCGCTTACTATTATTGGGATGTGAGGTGTTTGTTAAAAACTAGGTTTATCCTTTACATGACCCCAGCAGTTTTTAGCCATTGTGGTTTTTCTAATTTGCATTCAGTAGTTTGCCATTGCTTTCTTAATGTGGCTGTAGATACCACTGTTGAAACCAATGCGGTCTGCTGCCAAATCACCTGCAGCTAAGATCAAACCCGTACCCTGGCATTACAGAGCATGTTTGTAACACCTAAGTCACAAATGCCGACTTAGGCAATGGTCCTCCATAGATTATAAGCATTGGCATACATGATAGTGTTGCCAGTTCCCTTCTTGTTGCCTTTTTATTTCTAAAAATCCCCCCCCCCCCCCCCCCCCCCCTCCCCCCCCCCCCCCCCCCCACCCCCCCCCCCCCCCCCCCCCCCCCCCAAGTTTTTTAGTACCCATTTTGTCAGAAAAAAATAATCCATCTATTTTTGTTATTGAAACTAATTTATGACTTACACATTTTTCTTCGAAGTCGGAGAGATGAGGAACAAACAGTCTAAATACAATAATGCCGGGTTTATAAAATGGCTGTGCAGGCAAAACAGCGAAGAAGAAGAAGACATGAATTATAGACAGCGGATATTATGTTGACCACATCAATCATTGAGTGTTGATTGATCTATACAAAAGGCTTAAACATCATATACCCAGTTTGCCCATGTCATTAAGAGGGTCCTTTAGTTTTTGTTTTTGCTTTTAAATTCTTTTAAATATGTATGAGAGTTTAGGAAGAGAACTTGTAGTCAAAATTTAGTACTGAGCCTTTGCAGTATTGAAGCTTTTGGATATTTCCAGAAGAGCACTGTTATCTATGACCATATAAACACTGTATTTATATTTTAAGTCAAGTAATATTTAATTGTCTTCAGCATTGACTGGGAAAACTGCATGCATGTTAAGTTTGTATGTTCATATTGTGTCAGTTTAGTCACAAGATGCCAGCTTTTAAAAAAATGACATGACAAGTGATATAACAACAAGCTGCTTGACATGGCTCTTGCTGCATGACATTTGATAATTGACCTCCAAAAGATCCACTATACAGCCTTCCCCCAAAAATGTATGCAAATTTTAACATTTTCCGTCTGTGAACTTTCTTCAAAGTTGGATAAAAGTACAGAATTGATCATGCAAGAAATGAAGAGATTAGGACAACTGGAATTAATTTCAATGGTAAGCAAAGACTAAAATGGTTCAACTACTAACATGAGAATGAATTTAGTGACACCTGAAGCGAGAAATTACAACATGAAAATGGAAAAAACAAAGAGGCAGAGAGAGAGAAGAAGATGCCTTAAAGGAGTCACTGACAGCTTAACTCTTTGAGTCCCAGGGGGTTTAGCATCACAGGCCCAGAGGGTAGTAAATAAAGTCATAAAATCGGCGCATCATGCATTCATTGGGCTTCTAGGTAGGAAGCCATGAATGTATGATGCGTCCCTTGGGACTCTAAGAGTTAAAGACTTCAGAACATCCCAGCATTCCAAGCAACAAAATATGCCACAGCTTGGCTACCTTTCATCTGTTTAACTCATGTGGGTTCCGGGGCACAATTTCAAAAGGAAACAGAATAGGCCCACTGCCCCCTAACCAGCTTGTTGTAAAAGGCAACTGTTTGAGGTGTTTTCTTTGAAGTCACGGAGCATCTACCTGTGAGGCGAGGAACCAGAAGTCTATGAAATCAACCAGATCTGTAAAACAGATGTACACGCAAAGCCCAAGTTCTGAAACAAGAGCAAAGTCCAGAAGGAACAACCTGAACCTTCTGCTGGAGTTTACAGCCAGTGGAAGCTAAGAAGAAGAAGAAGAACTGTGAAACTGTGATCCCTAGCAGAACAAAGCAGATATTGACAAAAGCGAAGAAAGACACCTGTGATATGTGGAATGATTTTCTCTTAGACAGGTATCATTACTTTCATGTTACTCTCATGAATACTAGCATTGATATGCAACTGGAAGGACAGTCAAGAAGGGCCAGCAAAGTAATCCTTTATGATTCTTTGACATGTATCCTTTATGATTCTTTGACAAGTTGATCAAGTGGGTGTTTGCCGTACAACTAAGAATCTAAATGCTTGCGGTAACCACTTTGAACACTTCCTGTAACTGTAGAAGTCAACGATAACACATATTTTCCCTTGGCTGTCTGAAAATGTTTTATTAGTTTTTATACAGATTATTTTCCTGAGGGAGCCAGCCACAGTATTGTAGCGGCTAGAGGCTTGCCTGCTGGCGACATCTGGGGTTCAAATCAAGGCAGCTTTTTCCAGGACTGACCGTGGCTCCCAGGTCGACCTAGCCTGAAACAGGTACCAGGTAATGACCTGGGAGATCAAGGCGGGTGGCTGGAGATTGATCACATAATCCATCAGAGTCTGGTAGCTGTGTAAAACTATATGTCTGGCACTATACATTTGTATGCTCGATGTGCCAGTCACATGGAAAAGGGTGCTTGCTTATTGTTATTTTTTGTTTGCTTCATGTCCTAAAGTGTGCTTACATTTTTTTTGGCAAAGTGAATAATAA